GCTGAAGCCAGTCTAGGACCCAGTGCAGAGCAGGGAGTGGGGAGGTAAATGGGAGAGAGGTTTTTCCCTAAGGGACATGTTTTTGATCTGCGCAGTAGCCATATGCAAGTACTTATCTTTCACCAATCGAGGGCTGCTTCTCACTGGTTCTGGGTGAGGGAGTAGACTCTCTGGTGCTGGGTCTCTCCCAGTGCAGAAAATGCGCCTCCTGAGTAACGCTTCTTGCCTTCCTCACTGCCCACCCATGAGCTGATCAGGCCTGAAGGGCTCAGGTTCTTGTCAGGTCTGGCAACTCCTCACTGCTTCTGAACTGTCCCTCCCTCCCCCTGCCACAAAGTCCAGTTCCTCAACTTTGCCTTAGATGTTCAGGGCTCCCAGATTGTCATACATAATTGATTCACTTGCTTGTTCAGGTCTTTGTTGTAAGAGGGTCCACCGGAAGTGTCTGAGTACTCCGCCATCTTGGCCCTGCCTCCCTAAGCACAGATTCTTCATTCAATGTTTCTGCTCGAGAGATTAGGAAAAGATCTAATAGTTTATTTGATTGTGTCACTGAAGCATGGATTACATGGTTGAAATGAAGTTGAAGTACCAGACTGCCTCAGTATACTGTAGAAGAAGTACCCAAAGACTTAGGGAAATTGGCACGATAAAGTGAATTTATCAGGTTAGATCCACAAATCCACACATGGAGTGTCCAGAGGATGTGCCTTTTACCACAGTGGTGTGAAACAAATTTGTGAAAGGAAATCCTCCCAGTGGACAGAACTTCAAGAGTGCACCTAGTTGTTCATTTTGCTTGGAAAGAGAAATGGCCAGATATGCAATTGTATACTGATTCATGGGCTGTGGCCAATGGTTTGACTGGATGATCAGAGACTTGGAAGGAGCAGGATTGGAAAACTGGTGATAAGGAGGTATGGGGAAGAGATATGTGGATAGACCTCTCTGAATGGGCCGAAGAAGTGAAGATATTTGTGTCTCATGTGAATGCTTACCAGAGGGTGACCTCACTAGAGGAAGAGTTTAACAATCAAGTGGATAGGATGACGTATTCTGTGGAAATCAGTCATCCTCTTCCCCCAGCCACTCCCATCATTGCTCAATGGGTCATGAACAAAGTGGTCATGGTGGTAGGGATGGAGGTTATGCATAGACTCAGCAACATGGACTTCCATGCAAGAAGGCCGACTTGGCTATAGCCACTATTGAGTGCTCAATCGGCCAGCAGTAGAGACCAACATTAAGTTCCCGATGTGGCACCATTCTTTGAGGCAATCAGCCAGCAATCTAGTGGCAGATTGATTACGCTGGACCACTTCCATCATGGCAAGAGCAGCATTTTGTCCTTACTGGGATAGACGTTTACCCTGGTTGTGGATTTGCCTTCCTTGCACGCAATGCTTCTGCCAAAACTACCATCTGTGACTCACAGAATGCCTTATCCACTGTCATGGGATCCCATACAACATTGCCTGGAATCAAGGAACTCACTTCACAGCAAATAAAGTATGGCAATGGACCCACGCTCATAAGATTCACTGGTCTTGCCATGTTCCCCATCATCCTGAAACAGCTGGCTTGATAGAACAAGGGAATGCCTTCTAAAGACACAATTATGGCACTAGCTAGGTGTCAATACTTTTCAGGGTTGGGACAATGTTCTACAGGAAGCTGTATATGGTCTAAACTAGTGTCCAATGTATTGTGCTGTTTCTCCCGTAGCCAAGATTCATGGTTCCAGGAATCAAGGGGTGGAAATGGGGGTGGTACCACTCATTGTTACCCCTAATAATATACATTCCAAAATTTTTGCTTCCTGTTCCCGCAACTCTACACTCTGTGAGTCTAGAGGTCTTAGATCCAAAGTGAAGAATTCTCCAGCTGGAGACACAACACAGATTCTATTGAACTGGAAGTTAAGAATGCCACCCAGCCACTTTGTGCTCCTCATGCCTCTGGATCAACAGGCATGAGGAGTTACCATATTGGCTGGTGTGATTGATCCTGATTACCAAGGGGAAATTGGATTGATATTACATAATGGAATACAGGAGATCTCTTGGGGTGTCTCTTCAACTAACATACCCTGTGATTAAAGTCAATGGAAAACTACAGCAACCCAATTCTCACATGATTACTAATGGCCCAGACACTTCAAGAATGAAGGTTTGGATCAGCCCACCAAGCAAAGAACTACAACCAGCCAAAGTTCTTGCTGAGGGTAAAGGGAATATGGAATGGGTGGTAGAAGAAGGTAATTCTAAATAGCAGCTATGACCATGTGACCAGTTGCAGCAACGAGGACTGTAATTGTTGTATTTCTTCCTCATATGTGTGCATCAAATATTTTTGTTTCCTTCACTTATAAAATATAAGATATAAACAGGGCTCGTGCATTTTCAGTTTTATGCATGTTAGTTGTATCATATTAGGTGCAAGTATGACTTTATAATTGTCTTTATTTAGTGATTGTGTGTGGTTTAAGGACATGTGTACAGGTGCCAAGTTGACAAGGGGTAGACTGTGATGGTTAAGGTTGTGTGTCAACTTGGTTTGGCCATGATTCTCAGCGGTTTGGAAGTTATGTAATGATGTCATTTGGCAGTTATGTAAAGATGTAGTCATCCTCCATGATGTGATGTGATCTGATACGATCAGACAATCAGTCGTAAAAGGAGTTTCCTCCAGAGTGTGGCCTGCATCCAGTATACATATGGATGTTCTGGCAAAGCTTGCTTGCTTGCTCTCGATCTTGCATCCAGCTCATCATCTGACCTCTGGTTCTTACAACTTGAGCCAGCGGCCTGCCGTATTGCCTGCTGATCTTGGGATTCATCAGTTCCTTTACTCCATTCTTTCCTACATCCTCCCAGATCCTTCCTGGACAATCTTTCCCTTTTTTTCCTAAACTTGCAACCTTACCCTATCCATTAGAGCCTATCCTCAGGCATTATATCTACTCAGTTCCTCATCTACTGCCAAACACTCTGACTTGACCCCCTAGCTATTATCCAAACCCTTTTTCTTCCCCCATTTTATCCAAACCCCTCAAAAGAGTGTACACTTACTGGATTTACTTTCTCATCAATGATTTACCCTTCCATGCACTACCAGCTTGTACACACATCTCCTATGCCAATTAATTTAGGGTCACAGTGATGCCCTAAATGAAAAATCTAATGGTCGTTTTTCCATACTCATCTCCTTAACAATATTTCTCTGCTGCATGTGACATTCTTTATCACACCTTCATACTTCCTAGTCTTTCAGAGCACCTAACTTCTCTGTTGTTGTTACGTGCTGTCAAGTCAGTTCCAGCTCAGAGCGACCCTATGTACAACAGAACGAAACACTGCCGCTTCCTGTGCCATCCTCACAATTGTTGTTATGCTTGAGCCCATTGTTGCAGTCACTGTGTCAATCCATGTCATTGAGGGTCTTCCTCTTTTTCACTGACCCTCTGCTTTACCAAGTATTGAATATACCATGGACTGCCAGAAGAAAGAAAAAATCTGTCTTGGAAGAAGTACAACCAGAATGCTCCTTAGAAGCAAGGATGGCTAGACTACGTCTCACATACTTTGGACATGTTATCAAAAGGGATCTATCCTCAGAGAAGGACATCATGCTTGGTAAAGTAGGGGGTCACTTCCCCAGTTCCCCTCAAATTTCTCTGGTCACTCCTTCTGGAGTATTCTTTTTTTAAATTGTTACTATTCCTCAGAATTTGGGCATCAGTTCTCTCCTAGGCTCTATATGCTTTTACGGGGTCCTTTCATCCCATTTCCGTGTCTGAATGACTATCTATGTCAGCTCTTAACCTGAGTCCAAAGACAGGTATCTGTGAATCCACTGAATGTCTATGTACAATGAGTGTGTTTGTGCATATGTGCAATTCCCTGGGGACAGGTCCAGTATCTTCTATCATTCTCAAAGGCATGTATAACTGTAAAAAGATTAAGAACTGATTTATATGTTAATGATTCCCAGGTCCATAACTCTAAACCAGATTACTCTCCTCTTTTCCACATCCATATATTCACTTGGTTGACTCTCAGATACCTCAAATTCAGTGTATCAAAAAATGAATCAACCATATTCACACACCCCATCAAAAACCTGCCCTTTCCTCTGAATTTCCTATATCAGTGAATGGTGACACCATTCTCATGTCACCTAACCCTAGACTTGGGAGACATCCTTTATTGCTTCATATTTCTCAAACCCCACACCTGAACAACCACTAAGCCCAATCCAGTCTAACTTCTAAATATATCTTAGCTCTATCCACTTCTCTCCATTTCTTCAGCCACTGCTTTAGTTAAGATCCTCATCATAGCTTATCCAGATTATTACCAAAAAAAAAACGCTTATAACTGGCCTTGCTGCCACCACACTAAGGCTTCTTTTTTATCCATTCTTCACACTACAATCAGATCATCTTTCTAAAATGTAGATCTTATATCACACCTCTGCACCTCCCTCTTGCCCTTAGGGCTAAAATCCATTCTGTTTGCTGTAAAGTATCTTTCTCATCTGAACTTTGTCTACCTATCATTTCTCATCTCTAACCACTCTGCGTTATACCTGAGCTCTAGTCACACAGAACCAGTTTTAGTTCCAGAATGTCTGGGAGTGACCTCTATGTTTTCTTATGCTTCCATACCTTTGCATACGCATCTCTCTTTGCCACTTTAGTCTCTTCCCCCACTCCCAGGCATTTTTACCTGGCCAACTTCTACCCAACTTTCCGTACTCAGTTCAAGGATCACCTCCCTCACTGCTCAGCTCCCAAAGAACTTTATGCTTCCTTCTCTCGTTATATTTACCACACTATGTTCCTCCCTGGCCAGCCTGAGGGTAGACATCATGTCTTATTATTTTTTGTTCTCTGTCCATGGCATAGTAGCTAGCTATTCAAAAACTGTTTGACTAAATAAATTAACAACCAACGTGTGAGCAATGACTTCTAATGACTTTTTTTTTTCTTGTTTCAGACCAAATGGCTACCTGGTAGCTTCTTTCCTCTTTCTCCTAATGCTATTATTCTTCAGTATTCTAGTTTTGAGCTACTTGCATTATATGAAGATTTATAGACAATATATTTATGAACCACTTTCACCTGAGGGAAAACAAAAGAAAATGTAGGAAGACCTAAGTTATACTATGTATGTATGTATGTAGAGGGACTGTATTTATTTATTTATTTACATTGAGAGCATGCTTTTGACCAAGAAATACTAAGTATACACTCATGGTGTCATCAAATTCAAGACCTGAAAGATGTTCTTCAATTATCCTCGAGAGAAATATTTTCATATATTTTGTGTGTTATGAAATAAATCCTTAATATGTTTGCATTCCTCTTAAAGGGACTCTATATACTTTTAATATGGAAGTTAAAAAAATTAATTTGGCTACTACAATCCTTCCTGAGGATAAAAGTAAATTTTTGAGAATGTATAAATGTCAAATGTTATTATTTTTCATATGTGATGTTATATGGCTGTAGTTAATTTATGCATAAAATAATAAAAGTGTGTGGATTTAAATGATCTATGATTTCTTAAACACAGTTCAGAAGTTTTCTAACAGTAGATTCACATCTGAATGTGAATCTACCTATTATATTGAAAGTGAGCAGCTGATGCTCTAAATTTTAAAATTCCATTCTCACGCTCAAAATAAGCCTCTTAATTTGTTCAAATATTATCACAGCTTCCTAAATAATTAGTATTTGTATCAGTCAGGGTTCAACCAGAGAAGCAGAACCAGTATGATATATAGACAGATATAGATACATAGACATACGTAAATATGTGTGTATATATACATAGAGAGAGGAGAGAAAGATTGAGATTTATTACAAAGAATGGGCTTTATGGGATTGTGGAGGCTGGCTAAGCAAGTCTGAAATCCATAGGGCAGGTAGTAACGCAGGACAGATCTCCAGTGAGATGGAACTCCCCAGGCACAGGCTGACACTGTTGTCCACAAGCAGAATTTCTTCTTCTACAGAAATCAGGAACAAGCCAGGGCTACTGCTATGCGTCACTGTTTTGAAGTTCTGATACTGCAAGAAGAAAATAACACGTATAAATATTGGAAAAAAGAGATAAAATCCTCTCTTTCACTAATAAGATTATATGCCTAAAAAATCCAAAAACAGTAACAAGAATTACTAGAATTAATAACAGAATTTGATGGCTCAATACAAGACAAATATTTAAAAATCAATACCTTCTCTCTATACTAGCTATAACCTGTTAACAATAGATATAATAAAAAACAATCTATTATAGTGAAAAATTATATAGAATTAAATTTAACATGAAAAGTGTATGACCTATGCGAAGTAAACTTTAAAATCTTTATTGAAGGGGATGAAATAAGATATAAAACTTGATGGAAAAAAAAGAAAAACTACTCACCTGCACATCCCACAGGACATTACACTGATTCATTACATCAATGACATCTTGCTGATTGGACAGAAGGAGCCAGAGGTGGCTAATAGGTTGGAGGCATCCACTCTAGAGGGTGGGATATAAAAATCATTTCAAAGATTCAGGGACCAGACATTTCAGTGAAGATTTTAGGAGTCTAGTGGTCAGAGGCATGCTGGGATATCCCCTCCAAACTAAAAGATAAATTCCTAAATTTTGCATCCCCTGTCACAAAGAAGGAAGCATAGTGTCTTGGAGGTCTTTCTGGGTTCTGGAGGCAACATATTCCATACCTACTAATATTGCTGTGGCCGAAATACTGGCTAACATGGAATGCTACTATTTTTGAATGGGGCCCAGAGCACGAAAGGGCTCAGCCATGGTCGAAGTTGTGGAGCAATCAGCCCTGCCATTTGCACCATATGATCCAGTATATCTTACGGTGTTGGAGGTGTCAGATGTAGTATGGAGCTGTGGCAAGCTCCAGTGGGAGAATCTCAATGAAGATTACTGGGATTCTGGAGTCAGGACATTCCATCCAAGGCAGAGAATTACACACTTTTGAGAAACAGTTCTTGGTGTGTCATTGGACACTGGTAGAGATAGAATGCTCGATAGCAGGCCAAGTGATGATGTATCCAGAACCTCCCATTATGAGCTGGGTTCTGGTGGACCTGCCAAGTCATAAAATCGAATGGGTCCAGCAGCAGTCCATCATAAGATGGAAATGGTACATTCAGGATTGAGCCCAAACCAAAAAAACCAAACCTGTTGCTGTCAAGTCGATTCTGACTCATAGTGACCCTATAGCACAGAGTAGAACTGCCCCATAGGGTTTCCCAGGAGTGGCTGGTGGATTTGAACTGCCGACCTTTTGGTTAACAACCACGCTCTTAACCACTACACTATCAGGGATTGAGCCCAAGTACTACCAAATGGCACAAGTAAATTGCAGGAGGAAGTAGCCCTGACCCATGTCATCAGAATTGCACCAGTGCCCCTCTTCAGCTTATAGTTAGGGCCTTTTTGGGGTATGTATGGGGTGATCCCATACCACCAGCTGAAGAAAAAGGAGGAAAAAGCCCAAGCTTGGTTTATAGTCAGCTCAGTAAGTGGGTGCAAGCTGCCAATGAATGGGGGTTCATTACAATGTCATTCCGAGGTGGTCCTGAAAGACAATAGAGAAGGGAAATCTTCCCAATGGGTGAAGTTGTGAGCAGCACACCTGGGCATCTACTTTGTGTGGAGGGAAAAGTGGCCTGAAGTGAAAATATACACAGATTATTAGGCATTGCCCAATGGCCTGGCCATCTGGTCAGAACTGGAAGGAAAAGAATTGAAAAGACATTGAGGTCTGGGGTAGAGGTATGTGGATGGATATATGGGTGTGCACACCCTAGATGATGCAAATGGTTAACGCACTTGGCTGCTAACCCAAAGGTTGGAGGTTCAAGTTCACCAAGAGGCACCTTGGAAAGGCCTGGTGATTTACCTCTTAAAAATCAGCCAGTGAAAACCCTGTGGAGCACACTTCTACTCTGACACACATGGGGTCACCGTAAGTCAGAATCAACTCGATAGCAACTGGTTACACAAAGTGTGAAAAAATTTGTAGCACAGGTTAACACCCACCAAAAAGCATCCACCACAGAAGAGCTAAGTAGACACTGAACAATCAAGGAGACAACATGACTCAGTAAGTTGATGGTAGCCAGCCTTCATCATCAGCCACCCAGAACTGGTTTGAAGGGCACATGAATAGAGTGGCCTCTGTGGCAGAAACAAAAGCCACAGGATGCCTCCTGACAGTCACACCTTTGTATAACTCCCTCCCCCATCGCTACAGGCTTGGTCTGTGTTACCAGTAAGATACAGCAAAAGTGATGGTACATCATGTCCAAGATTAGGTTTTAAGACACTGTGGCTTCTTTCTTGGTTGACCTCTCATTCTCTTTTGGATCACTTGCTTGGGGGGAAGCAGCTACCATGTCATGAGCAGCCCTACAGAGAGGCCTACATGAGTGAACTTGGAAGCAGATTTGTCAGCCCCAGTCAAGCCTTCAGATGACTGCAACCCCATAAGGGAACATGAACCAGAACCACCCAGCTAAGCTGCTTCTAGATTCCTGACCCTCTGAAGCTGTGTGAAGTAATATTTATTTTAAGCTGCTATGTTTTAGGGTGATTTGGTAACTAAGACTGAGCAACAAATAACTAAGATACTCACTTCATCTCTACAACACAAGACAGTTAGCAATAAGCTTTAAAATTTATTCTTCTTTACAATAGTTTGGATAACTTATGTCTCTCTCCAGGTTGGCTAAGAAATTGTGACTGATTGTGAGAGGTTTGGAGCTCTGGTGGCACAGTGGTTAAGCATTCAGCTGCTAACCAAAAGCTTGGCGGTTGGAATCCACCAGCCACTCCTTGGAAACCCTATGGGGCAGTTCTACTCTGTCCTACAGGGTCACTATGAGTCAGAATTGACTGGAGGGCAATGCATTTGCTTTTGCCCATTATGCTCCAGCCAGAGGTCTATTGTTTCCTCAAATACAGCAAGCACCTTCCTTCCTCAAAATTTTTGCACTTGCTATTCCTTTTGACTGGAATACTTATCCCCTTGATATGCGCAGGTCTGGTTTTTTGTCATTCTGTTCTCAGTTAGTGCAATGGTTAAGAGCTACAGCTGCTAACTAAAAGGTCAGCAGTTCGAATCCACTAGCTGCTCCTTGGAAACCCTTTGGGGCAGTTCTACCCTGTCCTATAGGGTTGCTATGAGTCAGGATGGACTTGGAGGCACCGGGTTTGGTTTGGTGGTTTTGGTCATCACAGAGATCTTCCTGGTGCTGCCAATCTAAAACTACTCTTGATCACTTCACCCTATTTTAATTCTCTGCAAAGCACATATACCTGATATTTTGTTTGTTATCCCTCCTGTTTATCACTGTATCTGCAGGGCCTACAGCACTGCCTGGCATATGGTAGGCACATAACAAATATTTATTGAATGAATGTAAAAGCACCTACTATGCTCTAGGGTTGTTCTGATCTGTGAGTGCTGAACTCTTTTCCTATCTCAGCAGGATAAAAACAAAACAAAACAATTGCTGTCAAATCAATGCGACTCTATGGGACAGAGCAGAACTGTCCCATAGGGTTTCCAAGAAGCAGCCAATGGATTTGAACTGTAGACCTTTTGGTTAGCAGCCGAGCTCTTAAGCACTGCGCCACCAGGGCTCCACTCAGCAGTATAGTTTTACAGAATGTAAAATTCCATACTGTGAATTAACAAGATGCGTGTTATACCCACCCTCCCACCTGTAACTATCCTTCCTCTAATTCCCCATCTTCCTCTCGCAAAAATCAGTGAGGATGGGATTTAGAAATTTTAGGGTCATCACTATGGTCTTCTGCCACATTTCGCTGGCTTCATCGGGCTCAACACTACATAAACAGTAACAGCAGCATCAATGAGACGAGGTCGCAGAGGTTTCACCGCCAGCCAAGGGCAGGCGGCAATGGATCTAGCGGCAGGTCCAAAGCCCCGCATTCTGGGAGGTGGAGTCTCCCGGAGAGGTCTGGCCTGGCAGGATCGAGCACCGGCGCAGCACACTGGGAACTGTAGTCGAGGGCTGAGAAAATGCAGCGACGAAGGATTATGGTTGTTGAGACTCTGCCTCTGCGCGCGGGAATCCGCACCGCAAGCTAGGACCTGCAGTCTTTCTGGGACCCTGCTCCTCCAGGGTGGAGGGGCTCCGAGGCTACCGCCATTTTAGGTCCAGAAGCGGCGGCCGAGACCCAGAGCGCAGGCGGGCTCAGCCCGGCGCTGGCCAGGCCCCGCCCCCGGGGCGCCGGGTGCACGCCCCTTGCTCGGGCCCCGCCTTTCCCACGTGTCTGCTGCCTAGGGGAGGTGCCTGAGCTGGAGCGGGCCGCCACGGGTCCGGCTCCGTCCGCGCAGAGAATCCTATTGGCGGCCCTCCGGAGCGGCCCGGCTGTCCGATGCTTCTGCTTCGGCTGCCGCGGGCGGGGCTGTACGCTTAGTGCCGGGCTCAGGCCCCCTGAAGCGCCAGCGGGGCTGGGAGCGGCCTCCGGCCCCGCGGAGACGGAGCTTGAGGACGAGGCGGCGGCCGCGGGGAGGAGGATGGGGGCTAACCAGTTAGTGGTGCTCAACGTGTACGACATGGTGAGTGCAGCCCCCTGGCGGCCCCCGGCTCAGCCGGCATCCTCTCGCCGGTCGTACTCGGACCCCGGCCCCTGGCGCTTCCTGCCTTGCGTCTCCGCCTCCAGCTCAGTTCACTGTGCGTGGGGGGAGGGGACGTATTATTATTATTCTTGAATCCTCGCACCCGTCGAAGCGCCTGTTAGTGCTGCCCAGTCAACCCGACGGCTTTGGCAGAGTGTCCGGTCGTGCTGAACCTCTCCCACGCTCTCAGCTTGGCCCGGACCCTGGCGCTGGGCCCGACCCCTTAGCGGACGAGCAGTGCCCTTTGGGCAAAGCTTCCGTCGCGCTCCCAACCCCCCACTACCTGGACCCGCGGCTGCCCCACTTCCCCCGGCCCCAATGCCTGCCCTCCCCGCTACTCTGCTCCTGCTGAGCCACATATCTTTTTTCATGCCCAAGTCTTCAAAAACTCCCAAGCCCCCTAAGTCCAGAAAGTCATCTTGTCTATGCCTATTCTAGAATCTCTTCAAAGGTGAACAGGCGCCAAGATACTCTTGCCTCCAAGGCAACCTCATTAAAATGAATGAGGCTAAAATTTATCAAGAAAGCCCCGCTGAATTATTTGGAGATCATGGTGGTGCTTCTTTCCTAGATTCTGAAGACCACTTTCCAGATGATGCAACAGGTAGATGACGTGACAGCAGGAGAGGGTAGGGAAGAACTTGTCCATTGTGTCATCTAAGTTACGAGTACAGCAAGCCCACAGCAGGGAGTCCAAGGACTGGGTTGCTTTATCTTTGCAATTGAAATACCCCAAGAAAAAGCACCGGTAGGGCATTATCGTTGCAGTTAGGCGTGTGCTTGGGTTTCTTCGCTTTGGCCTGAGTAGTTCTTGTTTTGTAAAGGGTTACACTCCTAGCGATGTTTAAAATTTCTTGTCAGTGGATTGACAAACGAAAAATTACCCACTATTATTTTTGTTAGCTTAAAGATGCAGAAGCACTACAGATCAGGATTCTTGGTTCTCATTCACTGTATCTGAAGTGTACCAAGTGCTTCCAGACTAACTTATTTGCCTTGCATTGTTTATAAATGTCTAAATTTACTGTGTGACGTCTTGAGTAGAAAGGGATTCCCCATGCTGTATCTGGGAATTATGGCAGGAGGGCTAGGGCCTTCCTGAGATGAGATGAGGCGTCATTGGAGTTGATGTGAGCGTGAAGGTGAATGGAGGTGAGCTAACATACGGAGGAAAGTAAAGCATGATAGAAAAATTTACAGAGAAGAATCTGATACTAGACATCTTAGAACAGCATGACACTTTGTAAGGTCTTTGACCTAGGCCACTGGTTAAGAAATAATTCTCTAGATTTAAACTTCCTGCGTTCAAGTCTTTTTATTGCCCTGTTTCTCTGCCTTCCCCTACGTCCCGTCCCGGAGTGATCTGAGTGTGGTTACTTTTTTATTCATGAAGTCTATTACAAATTATCCCTCAGGAGAGCACAGAATGCCTTTTCTAGACTATTAAACCACTGTATAGGTTAGGAATATGCAGTGGCCAGAGGCTGCAGTTTCAGGGCCTAAAAAAAAATCTGTGAGGGTAGGGGAAAAAAGAAGTTTTGTTTTAAAAAAAAAAAAAAAATCCTGAAAATACACTCTTTGGCATAAGCTTGTCTATGAATCAGGAAAATTAAACGGAGGAGTGTTCTGAAAGATGTTAAGCATATTTATCTATTATCAAGGATATTCTCACATCACTTTGGTAAAGTAGGTACTTACAGAGAAAGCAGGTGGAGCAAAGACCTGCCCAGAGAACTAAAAATAGGATCTAGAATTTCTAGATCACGGTCTGATGCTTTATTTTCTCTACTGAATGATTCCCACTTTTATTTCTTATGTATTGCTTTTTCCTGTTAAAGGACAAGAAGGAGCATATATGAATGTTAATCAGCATGATAAATAGTAGAATTTCTAAACTTCTAATAAACTTGCCCTTGTACATTCTTTCGAGGGATTTCAGTCTGTGTTTTATGTCACTATTTCAGGAACCTAAAATTACTTACCGAATTTTAACTCTGTATAAGACACAAATATGAGTTAGTTATCGTTTCTTTAAGGAATTTCGAATATGGTGCGGGAGGTAAAAAGAATAGTAACAATTCAAGACAGAATAGGATGATTTTGATAGGAGCAGAAAAGGCTGCAAAGAAGACTACCTACGTGTGGTTGTAGGATGGGGAAATACTGGAAAGAATACAAGGTGTGAAACTTGAAGAACTGGTAAGATCTCCACAGGCAGAGAACCAACAGTGTGAGCAGAATGGCAGGCATGGGAGAGCACAGGGTGGATTTGGGAAATAGCAGCTGTTCCAGTATAACTAGATAAATGAAAGGCAACAAAACTGAAAGTTTGATGAGAACTTTACTGAGTGGCACAGTGGTTAAGAGCTCAGGCTCTAACCAGAAGGTAGGCAGTTCACATCTACCAGCTGCTCCTTGGAAACCCTATGGGCAGTTCTTCTGTAGGGTTTGGGTTTTTGTTTTTTGAAAGAAGGACTGGTTGAGGGGAGGATCTGTGGGCCTTGGAGAGCCATTTAAAGTTTCTGTGGAGGGGAGCAGTGTGATCAGAGTTATGTTTTAGAATTAAGACCAGTGGTTTAAGGTACAAATTTTTGTTTGTTATACTCATTTTGCTCAAGTCAGTTTTGGTTTTTGAAACGTTTTTGCCTGATGCCAAGAATAAACTCCTTTTCTCTTTGGTAGTACTTCCTATTCTTCATAGATGCCTTTGATGAGGATTGCTGTGATCTGTGCAGGTGTACATGAGCCATCTAGTCCAAACCTCATAAACATGAAAATCAACCTTTGGTTTGAGGTTATAATTATTGTTTATAGGGACCTTTTGCCATGTGTCCTTATGCCTGTTTGCCTATCAGACTGTCACTTGCTCCAGACTATTTTTCCTATATAGTACGTTGGGTGGCTGCTGATCCTTCTATTCTTCCATAATTGCCACATATATGAAAATAATTATATTGGAGTCACCTGTATTAATTTATGTTGCGGTCAATCCATACTAAAGACTGTAGTCTTTGATCTTCATAAGTGCTTCAAGTCCTCTTTACTTTCAGAAAGCAAAGTTGTGTTATCTGCATATCACAGGTTGTTAATGAGTCTTCTTCCAATTCTGATGCCCCATTTTTCTTCATATAGTACAGCTTCTCGGATTATTTGCTCAGCATACAGATTAAGTATGGTGAAAGGATACAACCCTGCTGCTCACCTTTCCTGACTTTTAAACCATGCAGTATCCCTTTGTTCTGTTTGAATGACTGCCTCTTGATCCATGTACAGGTTCCTCATGAGCACAGTGAAATGTTCTGGAATTCTTATTCTTCGCAATGTTATCCATAATTTGTTATGATCCACACAGTTGAATGTCTTTGCAGAGTCAATAAAACACAGGTAAACATTTTTCTGCTATTGTCTGCTTTCAGCCGAGATCCATTTGACATCAGCAGTGGTATCCCTTGTTCCAAGTCCTCTTCTGAATCTGGCTTGAATTTCTGGTGGTTCCCTGTTGAGGTACTGCTGCAACCATTTTTTAATTATCTTCAGCTACATTTTGCTTGCCTGTGGTATTATTGATATTGTTCCATAATTTCCACGTTCTGTTGGATCATCTTTCTTTGGAGTGGGCACAAATATGGATCTCTTCCAGTCAGTTGGCAGCATAGCTCTCGTCTAGATTTCTTGGTGTAGACGAGTGAGCGCTTCCAGTGCTATATCCATATGTTAAAACATACCAATTGTTATTCCAGCAATTCCTGGAGGCTTGGTTTTTGCCATTGCCTTCAGTGCAGCTTCGACCTCTTCCTTTAATACCATCGGTTCTTGATCACATGCTACCTCTTGAAATGGTTGAACGTTGACCAATTCTTTTTGGTACAGTGACTCTGTAGTCTTCCATCTTCTTTTGATGCTTCCTGCATTGTTCAGTATTTTCCCAATAGAATCCTTCAGTATCGCAACTCAAGGCTTGAACTTTTTCTTCAATTCTTTCAGCTTTGCAGATGCCGAGCGTGTTCTTTCCTTTTGGTTTTCTAACTCCAGGTCTTTGTACATTTCGTTATAATGCTTTACTTTGTCTTCTCGAGCTGCCCTTTGAAATCTTCTGTTCACCTCTTTTACTTCATCATTTCTTCCATTCACTTTAGCTGCTGGAAGTTCAGGAACAAGTTTCAGAGTCTCTTTGACATCCATTTTGGTCTTTTCTTTCTTTCTTGTCTTTTTAATGACCTCTTGCTTTCTTCATGTATGATGTCCTCCCACAACTCATCTGGTCTTTGGTCATTAGTGTTCAGTGCATCAAATCTATTCTTGAGATGGTCTCTAAATTCAAGTGCGATATACTCAAGGTCGTACTTTGGCTCTCATGGACTTGTTTTAATTTTCTTCAGCTTCAGCTTGAACTTGCATATAAGTAATTGATGGTCTTTTCCGCAGTCGGCCCCTGGCCTTATTCTGACTGATGATGTTGAGCTGCGTCATTGTCTCTTTCCACAGATGTAGTCAATCTGATTCCTGTGTATTCCATCTGATGAGGTCCACGTGTGTAGTCGCCCTTTATGTTGTTGAAAAAAGGTATTTCCAATGAACAGGACATTGGTCTTGCAAAATTCTGTCGCACAATCTCCAGCATCATTTCTTTCACCAAGGCCATAGTTTCTAACTACTGATCCTTCTTCTTTGTTTCCAACTTCCATTTTCCGATTACCAGTAATTATCAGTGCATCTTGATTGCATGTTTGATCAGTTTCAGACTGCAGAAGTTGATAAAAAATCTTCAGTTTTTTCAGTTTTGGCATTAGTGGTTGGTGCCTAAATTTGAATATAGCCATATTAACTGGTCTCACTTGTAGGTACATGGATACTATACTATCACTGACCATGAATGCTACTCTTTTCCTCTTCAATTTGTCATTCCCAGTATAGTGGACCATATCACTGTCCGATTCAAA